GTATCATCAGGTCCTACTGTCATTTCGAATTTTTTCATTCAACCCCACCGCCCCACCAATATAAACCAAGACAATCCCGACGTCATGGTGTGTTGATCTCATTTCAGACATTGATGAGTGTTTTGAAAATACTCGCAACTGTAAAACCCACACAGCTACCTGCACCAAAGGTGATTTTTTTTAAACAGACCTTCCAGTTCTTAGAGTATCAGACGTGGCGTATTTATTTGATTTCGCTCTCCGTGGTGGACACATGCTATTGATAGTCCCAATTTTAATTTTATTTGTATCATTTTCTTTAGCTGACAATGGATCGCCATGTCATTACCGTCTTCTCAGCTCTCAATTCTTACTGTTATTTCAAAGTTTTATTTTGTCTTTCCCCCCCCCCCCCTTCCACATTCCGCCTCAACATTAGCGAAGACGATCATGGCGGTACGGTATATGTTCGTCTCATTTCAGACATTAATGAGTGCCCTGAGAATACTCACAACTGAAGCAAGGGGAAAGTCACTTGTGCAAACACCGCAATGTCGAAAAATGCATAACGAGATCTAAGACAGGTTTTTCTGGGGATCAGGGGTCCACCTGGCAATCTCAATCAGCAACAATGATTTTTTCCTTGTCATGTAAAACACAATTACTCTGCAGCTTCCCTTACAATTTTTTCTCGGACGAGTGGCATCTCTTCATTCATTCATTCCTATGACTGTTGTCTTTTTCGCTCTGTGTTCAATTTTTCACTGTCGCGTCAGCTAAGAATCAGTGGCTTGATTGATATCACTAAATGATGACGAAATATTTTATTCTCTACGTAAACTTTAAATCAAAATTATCTCATAAACCAAAACTGTGCAACTCCTACAATTACAACGAGTTTGCCGTACAGACGGGTTTGTCTGAAACCATCCCGCGCCTTGAGTCTTACAGCCAATACCATCACAGCTAAACTGACAAATAGGTTTACAATGATTTACCGCTTTCGTCTTATAACACTCGACTGACAATTACTCTTCAGTTATTTTTGATGATCTCTTTCGCTCATGTGATTGCAAAGTCAGTCACCACGGCCGACAACAGTCGTCCTGATATTGTGTTTGTTCTTTTGCCTCACGACAAAATCCACTTGATATGGAACACAACGTTTCGACTGCTTACTGCAAGTCTTCTTCAGGCGATGGGGTCGACTGGTTGTGGCACGGCGTTATGTATTATGGTGGTCTGTTGTAATTGGTGCATTTCGATCCGGCTATTGTTTCCATGTACCATGATTTCCTCAGGCGTTCGCTGGTTTTTCGTGCGTCGTTGGTTTAGATGTTTCCTCATTGTAGGAATCCACGTGCACGCTTCCGGTATTTCAGTTCCGTTGTCCCTGTTTATTTTGTTTGGGTTGAGTATTATGTAAATTCCCTCTTTCACTTTCCTTGTGTACCAATGGCTTTCTTAGTCAATAAATTTGGTTTCGTTCCAAAGCGGCTTGTGTCCGGTTCCGTTGGCATGTTCTGAGATCGCGGAATTCTGAGTGCGTGCAATTCGTATATCCCTGTCTGCTCTTTCATTTCTCCTGCATGGGTCATCCTGTCTCCCTGATGATAGACTTTGCCGCATGTGCATGATATCTTGTAAACTACGCCATCTTGCTTGTTTGGGTCTGCGGGATCTTTTGGTCTGACCAGCCGGGATCTTAGTGTGGTGTCGGATTTAAATACGGTGCATATTCCTTGTTGCTGTAGGTGGCGGCGGAGGGGTTCTGAGACTCTTTTAATGTATGGCAGCACTACGGTAGACTTGAATTCTGCTGTTTCCCTTCCCGGTGTTGAGTTCCTGGTTTTGGTCACTTTCTTTTAGAAGGACGGAGGGTAGCCGTTAGCGACGAGAACTGTGGATAGATGTTTTTTCTCCTGGGTTGTTCCGGATGGCTTGTTGATGATCCGTTTGGCTAGATCATGTAGACACTTGACAATACCGCTTAACAGATTGTGGGTGGCACGAATCATAGGCGAGGTACTGGCCGGTGTGTGTGGGTTTTCTACACGACATAACAGTTGCCCTCATGACCACACTAAAAAGCGGATAGGTCAGACAACATGATTATATAATTAAAGCAACAATCAATAGATCATTACTGAAGCAGTCAGCGTTATAAGATATATTAAGCTGACCCTCGTAAAATCTATTGTACTCCCTCTGCATTACATTCGCGATTTCGGGCGCTTCCTTGTCAATTGTTGGTATGCAAACAATAACATTAGCATGAATTCCCTTTTAAAGGAAGAAATTGCAACAACTTTTTTTTTTTTCATCTTTGTGCATGATAATCTATGTATATCACCTACAGGTGATAATGGTGCTCTTGAAATAATGTTAACGTCAATGTGAACAATATTTGCATAGTATAAAACACGTTGCATTTAGTCATTTCCAATCGGGGTGTGAATTCTTCCATTACTTGGAGAATATTAGTAAAACCAACAATGGGGGTTTGTGCCGTTTTTGTGTCAAAAAGAAAGTTGTTTGCGCATATAAATATTCAACTAATGCAGAATGCTGTCGAGTCGAGCTACGGAAGAACTATTTGTCTTACGTCTCTGAAGAAATTAGTAATGACACATTTTATTTGCGTGCTTTGCCCAAACCGAGAGGAGAGATGTGGTATTACAATGGACCAGTGGGAAGAAAAACGTTAGGAAATGTAATAAAGAAAATCACAAGAAAGGCAGGATTTGAGGGACATTTGACAAACCACTCTCTAAGGTGAAGTTCTGCCACATGGTTGTACTAAAACTGTGGTACCCGAACAAGATAATTTTCTCCCCAACAAAAAGGACCACATCCATTTTCCTTGGAAACTCGGACCGTACTCGAGACCTAATGACCCTCTTAGACTGAAATCGCCAACATAATGGAGAGGGAGCACAATAGGATTTTGCGGGGTCAGTAATTATTACTGAGATAAACTTGGACTGAAAGACTCCAGTGTTGCAAATTGCTACCGTTGCTTGAAAGGTAAGGGACGAGTACTCCACAATAAATTTTTTCCCATTCCTTTTGTTTCTCTAAGGTGATAGAAAGTCGGCTAGAAAACGTTTTCCTTTGAAAGTTACAGAATTTTTCATAAAAGGAGGCAAAATAAAATTCCCCTTCCTTTGAGGAAGTGAGCCCTTATTGATAATTCTTAGATAGTCTTGGAAAAAAGCGGTACCTGACATCTTCCTTTTTTTACAGATATTAACGAGTGCACTGCTTCTCCATCTTTGTGTGATACCAACGCCGTTTGTCATAACACCCAAGGTTCTTATCACTGTGCCTGCAAAACTGGAACTTTTGGAAATGGACAAACTTGTGAACGTAAGAATGTTTGGATTGTGAGGGAGGGCACATCTGTCTCAAAAAAAACAGAAAAACAGGCAAATAGACAGGAGGAATAACTGCTTGACTGACTCAAATTTTTATTTTTTAACATTTTTATGTAATTTACATTTTTCATTAGTTTTTGTACCTGTTTAGTAGCATACCTAATTTCTTTTTACTTCTTTATCCGGCTGGATTTGGAGCCGGTGGAAGAAGAGGACGCTTTGGCAAGATACAGACATTTACTGTTTCGCAGAACACCCGCTATCTCATCAAAGCCTGGGGAGCTCGGGGAGGAACACATTCATACGATTATGGATACCTTCCAGGAACATATTATGGTGGGAAAGGAGCATTTAAAGAAGGGAAGTTCACACTGAATAAAGGAACAGTGTTGAATATTGTGGTGGAAAAAAAGGATGAGATTCAGTGGAGGTCAAAGGTGGACAAAGCACCAAGCAGACTGCAACTCAACTTGGAAAATCTGTGAAAGAAAATGCTGGCACTGGAGGAAGTGGAGGAGGAAGCTTTGTTTATACTACAGCTGATGTTCTGTTACTGGCTGCCGGAGGAGGAGGGGGTGCCTCGGGTGGGTATAATGGTGTGGATGGTCAGGCGGATTCAAGTGGCACCAAAAGTGTGGGAAAAGAATCGTCACGAGTTCGAAATGGAGGTACAAATGGGCAGCCAGGAGAATGCACCATAGAGGGCGCTCATTATCATGGAGGAGTGGGTGGGGGTTGGTTTAGCCAAGGTTGTACCCGCCTAGGCTTCTCCCATGGGGAAAGGGGAGGTTCATGTGCGGAAGGCTGGATCAGAGGTAAAGTTGGAGGTCTGAATAGTGGTATTAACGGGGGCCCTGTACAGGAGCAGTTGGGGGATGGGGGTGGTGGTACAGAAGTTAATGGGGCATCAGGTGGAGGTGGTGGGTACTCTGGGGGAGGCAGTGGTACTCATAAACACCAAGCCGGAGGCGGAGGAGGCTCGTATTGTAGCGGGGAAGACTGTTCAGGTTTGACTGGTGGTAACTCAAATGATGATGGCGCTGTGAAAATTGATGAATGGCTGAGAGGAGTTTCAAACGATAATTGACTGTATTATTTAGTTTTCTTTGACACATTCTCTGTAAAACAGCAAACACTAGTTATAATAGTAATTGGAATAGCCGATCTACCTTCCAGGACAGTTCCTGTTTTCGTTTTATTTCAGACTTCAAATCTAATCACCTAAAATCCTGTTATACAGAAAAAGGAACTGTTTGATTGACTGATTTATATCAATTATTAATAAAACCTGGGAGATTTCCTGTTAAAGTTAAATCGTTTGAAAAAAAAATAGTGTTTGAGTTATGACAAATTTGTCCTAATCTAATATTATCAGTTAATGGGTATTGTTTGAATGAGTTGTAAGGTAAGCTAAAATAAGGTATTTCCGAAGTTTTGTTCAGATTTGCAACAGAGATAGGGTTTTTTAGTATGGGTAAACGGGTTTTATTAGCATGGGTACGTTATAACTCAGCTGACTGGGCGCGAATGGTTCTAACTGGCTGCGAATCCACCGTGAGAAAGAAAGGACTGGTAACCAGATATTCTGAAGGCAATGTGCTCATAAGAAGTTTTCGAGGAATCAACCTAATCATTTTTGCGTTTTTGATATATGTGTATCTCCTCTAGAACACTCTTCAGAAAAAAAAAAAGGATTGTAACAATCTTAGTGGTTACAAAAGAAAACTGACCAAATAATGTTCTTCTTTTTAGATCAAAGAGCGCGGATTATATGTATTCTCCTGGTACTTTTTTAGTTCAGCTCGGCGATCAACACTAAAATAACTTGTAGTTTTTCTTCCATGACAAAGTAACAACAGGTGACGCTTGTGAACAGATCTTTTAAAAACCTGATAAAGTTGAGAAGCAAAAGTCCAACTATTGCAGTGTAAGATATCTTTTTCAATATGTAAAGCTTTTTGTCTCTATTGCAAAGCCCGTTCGACCGAAAACATGCGTAAAAGTATAATTTTTTTTTTCTTAAACAAAAACGAAGGTGTCTGTAAAGATGTCTCTTTCCTGAAAGCTGTGATTTGTTTGAAACCGATTCCGAAAATCATTGCGCGGATTTTCTGTTTAAACAATTTTCTTCTCATAGAAGAGCGAATGCGTTGTGATTGGTATGACACTTTTCAATTGTACGATTGTTACTTTTAGAAATGTTATTTCTATTCCGAAACCATCGTGAATCATGATTCTACCTGATACAATATGTTTTTTTTTTTTGTAACGGTGAGATTACCAGCCATTTCGTGCCCGGAGATATTTTGCCCTCAGATGTTCTGTACCCAGCTGAGACCATTCATACCCAATTAGTTTAGTCGGCTAGTACTCATATACAGAAAAAAAGTATGATTTTCCTCTTGAATATGTTAAATGTGGAGTCGGTTTCACCTTAGTTTTAAAAAAAATTTAAAAAATTAAAAAAGACAAAGAGAAAAAAGCTACAGCTACCCTGCACGAGGCACGAATTAGCTAAGATATACATTTAGCCAAGCCTAAAAGCGGAGCTCTGGTTAGTTCATTTTCCAACCCTTCGTTGGCACTAGCCGTAGAAGAGTTTCTTGAAGGGAATTTAGGGGCTATTCCGGGGGGTGGGAAAAATTGAGTACCTTCGTTGATGTTCTTGATGTTTAGAGCAAATTTTCAAAGATAGGGAATGTTTTCTCCTTCAAATGAAGTATCAGCATCAGTTGAACTTATATTCTATTAAGCGTGAATGATAATTTTGATTTGGGAAAATGAGATAAAATCGAAAGAAACGACGGCAAACTACTTCGCGTTTAAAGACATTAGCGGTCGATTGAAGAGTACAAACGTGAGAACAGCGAGTTAGTCAAACAATACACCAGAATCGTATGGGCCTGACTATACTTTTATAGCCATTACCAATCCTAACACATAATAAAATTTTAGTAAGATCAGAGGAAAAATAATGTGCCATACATCTGCAAGATTTCATTAACAGATGCAAAGAGATCTAGGAATTTTCAAAAGAATATAAAAACTGGTTGAAAAATTAGAATTCAGTATAGGCCAGATAAACAAGATTCTAAGAAGAAGAAATGTGTGCTGATGAAAAAATTAAGAAAATTGTTTTAAAATACCTGCCTGTACCTGGATGGCAAGTTATAAAGTCATTCGAAGTAGTCATAATCTCAGTTTT